GGAAGTTTGGCCAGGGCTGGGCCAACATCGGTGCATGCGATTTCGCAAAAGCCTTTTGGTTCAAGATCGATAGCAGAAGATCTGGTGATCTCCTTGCCYTCAGTAAGGCTAGCCTCTTCCTAGTTGTGCGSCTTTKMATKGCGTCCATTCTGTTAGGTTGGGAATCATACYATACGCCATTTACAAAAGTTGTATGAAAAAAGATGAGCCGAAACAACTCAACCCTTCCTTGACTGTTCCGCGTTGTGGAGGTCACGACTTGGGAGCACACACCTTCAGACATCCCATCAAACTAGTGGCAGTAGAAATTAAACGCGTTTGCAAATTTGTATTGGCTACTAAGCATTTTGCTTATTTATAAGTTCTTCTTTTCTATGGTTTCACAGAAGTTCAGCCATCTAACCTAACCCTGAACTAAAGCTGAGGTCAATTTTAGAGATATACAGTAGCTGATAGATATACAGTAATGACAGTGCAGTGACAAACATTTACTTACCAACGAGTGAAATCAGAAGCACCGGCCGGCGCCCAAAACGATCAGACCACGCGCCAATAAAGAGCGCTAGTACTGCGGGTATAATACTGGAAACCAATGAATTGGCTAATATAATGCGTGAGACATAAGGCTGCACTTTAGTTTCGATGTTCTGTAAAAAACAACAAACTAGTAATAGTATATTGCGATTAATTATGTTAATTTTTGCTAGAAAACCAGAAATTTTAAATAATTGATACTCGATTTAATCGCCTAAACCGCGATATGTTTGACTTTTAATTAACGACAACTGTGCCATATATTTTAAAGATATACTTTTTCGATAAGTGGAAAGCGGTGATGTAGATAATACCATTTTAATCGGCTGTATTTGGAGAGTGCCAAAACGAACAAACCAATGGTATAAAACCAAGCAAATGGGCCTGGTAGTGAACGAGGGCACGTCACTGTCTTAGATAATTTTGAATATCTTGGAACCAGTATTAACACTAGCAACACTGCCAGCCTCGAAATCCTCAGGCTGAGTAGACAAATGAGAAGTAAATTCCTCTCTCGACGAACAAAGGCCTAACTGTATAAGTTACTCGTTACTTCCGTTATACGGTGCAGAGACATGGACGATGACAACAGTCGATGTTGCGAATTTTCGAGAGAACGGTTCTGCGGAAGATTTATGGTCCTTTGCCCATTGATAACCGCGAATATCGCATTCGATGGAACCTCGGATGTACTCATCAATTACTATTTGGCAGTGTTTAAGCTTAATTGTTGTGTAAATATGTGCTGGGGAGTTCACCGATTTTCGCCAATATATGCATTCATGTATTGGTACCAGCATAAAATATTCGCACACATAAAAATAGATAAAGATACATTCAAATGCATAAAAATAACCCGAACGATAAGTGTGCGACATGTGTTTATTGTCGAATGGATCATTGTTTTATCAGCTTTTGATATTAAAAATTAAAAAAATAATATGGCAAGCGTTTTGACGACCTTAAGCAGGCATTCACACGCTCTCAAACGTTGCTGCTGTTACGTCATATCGATAGCTTTGTTATTGTTCAAAAACGCTAATTTATTGAAATGAGAACAAAGCTCTATTATCCGGAGCAGAGAGTAGCGTATCGCATATGGCTATAATAGACTTAAAAAAGTTATTAAATAGTGCGACAGATGCGTATCCAGTATATTTTTATACTCTGAAAAAGGGGTTTGCCAAGAAGTTTGTACCCAGAAGGAAAGGTCAGAGACSCTATAAAATATACCGGCTGAGTCTTTTACCGGGTTACAGACCAGACCACGKTCTCTACTCTAGAAGATCATCCAAAAATACAGAAACCTAACCGATATTGGTAACATTGTTTATAAGACGATCTAGACGGGAACAAGAACGATATAGCAACCTCTGATGAAACCCTGCGATAATTAGTGATTTTAATGTCACTTGACTATATTTATTAATTAATATATTTCTTGTTGTGAACACATTCTTTGTCCGAGCAAGAAATCATAGTATAGGCTAGAACGTGAACTTAATAAGTATCTTAGAATTCCCCTTAGATACTTAGGGTCTATTGTGCCCTAGAATTCCAGTTATTACAGACGACAAAAAGAGAGGTTTACCACAGTCTAAGACCTGATTTCCAGTGGCTCACAGAACAAATATGAGGACAGTAAATGTAAAATGACTTTTAGTGTCTGACTTGTCGTTGTTCTAAAAGCTCTACTGAGGCATATACTAATTGCTTTTTGTAAATTTTCCATACGCCTTATCGTGCATTTCTTTCCCATTATTGATCATCATACCAATATACCGCATGTCTTAATCAGCACTAACAACAGCTGAGTAGAGCCAAAGCCATTTGAGCCCCAACATCCTTTTATAGGTGTAAAAAAGGTGTAGTTGCTTGCTTTGCCCTGGCATCGAAGTTTGGTTTCTAGAAAGCTTCCTGTCTACACTTAGACTCAAATAGCTTGTTTGCTCTTCTATTCTTAACCTGGTGATATTTATTAATGGCGGCGTAACTTCCGGAATTCTCCCGGAATCCAAGTTTGGTCCGCACAATACGGCCCAACGATTCATGTTTTTTGATATTGTTTGCTTAAGCTTAACAGGGCTGTTTGGGAATATTCAGACAAACCAGAACCAAATTTAGTCTGAACACCACCTTATGTATCGATACTCATGTTTAAAACTTTTTTATTTACTTACATGATTTATTGTTGCATTCGAAATACCCAACATCGGCTCGCATTCGGCTTCTGTGTATCCAAAAGTAACTTTGCAGGACTGATAAAGTAATTGATTGGTAAATACCACCGCTGAAAGTATTAAAAATCAGACATGGTTGTAGTTGTTGTACACTATTAAAGTGCAGTCCATTTTCATTTGCAAATATCTGTCCGGGCAAACTTACATGCTAATGAAGTGGCGAAATTCAGAAGAAATATGGGCGGTTCCAGTATGAAAATGCGTCGCAGTGGATTTAATTGCTGTTGTGTATTGCTAACAGTATCTGAATCGGTGACAATAGTCTGATCGCTGTTCAAATCTTCCACCTCTGTGCGCTCGTATGGATTGACTGAGGCGTCGGAAGTTGAATTCTGCACATAAACCGCCGTGGGAGGCGTGTTTTGTGCATTGTAAGTGCTGTTTTCGAACTCGTTTCTTCGCATGTTTGTTCGTTTTAAGTAATCGTATTTCTAAACACTAATCAAAAAGTGACACTTATGTACTTTGCTTTTGTTTTGTTAGAAGTAATTAAATTATTGTCGATTTTTGTTTGATAGCCACTTCACTTTATTCGCACTTTCACTCGTTCTTTCTCTTAATTTTCTAAATTCTCATTGGTTTTTTTTATCAGCGGTCTATGGCACAACCGGCGACCATAAAAATCAATGCAATACTGATTTTGAAAATAGCACCCACACTGTTTATATTTGATTATTTTATGGCTGGCTGGTGGACAAGCTTACCAGTTGTGATTCCCTGGCGCACAAATTGAAAAGAAAGTGAGATAAGAAATTTTTTATGTATGTTTGGGCGTCCCGATTGATATCGAGGTGCGTGCATTTTGGTTCATCGGTACAATTGACCTGGTGAAATTTGCAAGAATGACAGAAGTATACTATGTAAATAAAAATATACATAAATACATATACTTGTACATATATATGGTAGTTGCAAAAGTCCTTCCTCTTTTATATTTGACTAGTAAATTAATAAATAAATATGTACCATTCCGTCGACCACTTTTTTGCCATTTTTCCGCTAGAGATATTAGTTCAACAGTGTAAATCGAAATTTCGCAATTTCCCGAACTGAAGTCTCCCTAGACTTAACAAATATCATTGGTGGCTTGTGTGGTATTCTTCCCTTTTTTATAAAAAAAAAATTTCAAAATACACCGAATTTCATCTTTATTTTCACTCAGTTTTGAACAGCTGTAATTTTTTTTCGACTTTCCCGAATTTAATTTTTTATGGTTAAATTAAGCTTAAAATCTCATCTTTGAAACACTGCATCGTATGACACAATGCGTTTGGTAGCACTGGAGATATACGACTGCAACGACATCTATTGACAAAATACGAAAATACTTTTTTGCCTACCGGATTGATGTTTGCCGATGTACATATAGCTCGTAAACGCCTAACTTAATCGCAGTAACTAACTATTTTTTAGCGCCGTCGAGGATATTATATAACTCGAAATATATATATATATATATATATATATATATATATTTTTTTTTTTCGAAAATTTTGGTGTGAATTCTTGAAACATACCTTGCAAGTGTCGAAACAATCGTTACATTAGTTCTTTTTCTAAATTTTCAAAAACCTACGTTTTTCAGACAGTCTCTCTAGGTATGCCCCTTAAAAGTCGAAGGAATAATATATACCTTCGATCATTACTTGTATTCAACTATAGTTATAATCAATTTTAGTTTTAACCAAAAAAACTACTTTATCGCTAGACGGCTGTTTTCGGAGCTCCTTCCGGAAATCTGCTACGGGATCAGGGCAATCCAATTTTTCAAAATGATTTCTTCGATTGTCATTGAATTCTATAAGTGTGCTTTTCATACTACTGTAACAAGTTGCTACAGATTATAGTAGTTTTGTTACCTAACGGTTGTACGTATCACCTAAACCTATTTGATTTAAATATAGGGAAACCTTTTATCGAAAATATCGATCAATCTGTGAGGATATATTCTAGAAATTCGGCGTAAAATCCTTTCCTAAGAATAGTATGCTTGTATGAGAAAAATGATTTCAATCGACTTTCTACCATATAAATATATTGGCAAGTTGTTTTAATAAAACTGATAAAACCATTGAACACTTACAAACCGTATGCACTTGAGGTACATATATCCCAGACTTGATCCTGGACAGTTGAAAGTGTATGAAATGTTCGGTTGCACCCGAACTAAGTTCTTCCTTTACTTGTTTTACTTAAACAAAATCCTTAAAACAGCTACCGCTGTTTGAGTAATCAGTTCGATCTTATTCAGGTTTTGATTTCATTATAATTATTTTTTGAAATTAGTCTTAAAACTATTTACTCTTGTAGGCAATTAAAATAAAAACTCATTGTTTATCAATTAAGTAAATTTTATTTGAGTTTCGCTATTTTTAATGTATTTTTATTTTAAAATTGAAGTGATATAAAACTTTTACTGATTTGGTTTTTCCGCATTAAAAAAAACGAGTATTTTTAAATAAAAAATACGATATATTTCAGAATTTTCTTATTTTATTTTTACGGTATATTTCAGAATTTTTTTATTTTTAATATTTAATTTTACCTTAATTTTTTAAATTAAACACCACTAACAAAATACATGTTGTTAATATTTTCTTTTTAGTTTTATGTACACAAAACATTTACTTTCAATTAAAAATTCCAACACGAGGCATTTTCTAATGTCAAATATAACTGCAATTTCTTAACCTACACTCAACGCGCAAAGGTGCTTCACACTGAAATTAAGCCTACGTGATTCATTGCCCGCGTAATGTCCGTTTTTATTCACCGTTGTGTGTGGTCGACTGATATAAAAAGGTACAGTTCTGCTATTAGCTTTTGTCAATTCGCTTGTACAGTCGCGCGTGAAGCATGTAGCCATCCCACTTTTACACGCTATTTTCCCACATTGTTGCTTAATGTGCCGACTGCCGATTGCAAAAGTTTCTACTTCGGTTTGAATGTTGTCTTATCATTGTTGGTTCGTGCGCGTGTTGGCTTTAAATCACATTTTCTCTAGTTCTCGTTTTTGCGAACGTTAATGAATTTGTTGCCATGCATGCGTTACTAACCCGATTTTTCATCAATAAATAACAATTACGCACAGGAGTGAAAAAAACATACCTACTTATTATTATTATTATATTTTTTTCTTTTGTTTTTAACATCTATCACTTATGTATAATATTAAGCGCTTGATATTAAAACAACTTGAGTTTGGGAAATCTTAGGAGTGTGTCCAAAATTATGAATTTTTATCAGACGTTCTTTTTCTTTCTAGAAATGCACTCAGAGGTTTGGAATTTTCTGGGAAGTACACTCTTGAATCAATCTGTGCCTTAATGTGTTTATATGAATATGTGTCTCTTGACAATGATCTTCCAGTTTTTCGGTTGCATAAAAAATGTTATTTTGGCGAAACAAAAATAATGAATACAATAATTTGAACAAATTCGAGCGTCATTGTAGGCAATAACTTAAGAAAAAGGAAAACGCGCATAACTTGTTAAATATTATTATATTTTTTAAATTTTAAAGTATCGAATTAAAGTAATTTTAAAACAAGTGGGGAGTTCATTCCTTTTATAAAAGAAAAACATACACACCTACAGTAAATTGCATGTAGAAATAATAAGTTATGAAATTGTTTAGTGTCCACAATGTCCGTAATTTCGTCCTGCTAGTCCAAATCGTTGATGCATGGGGTTGGCAAGCTTCAAACACTAATTTTGAGGAAAATTATTCCAAATGTTATAGATGCAGTTCTTCAAATCAGCCAGGTTTTAAAGCGCATCATTTTCTCAGACAGTTATTTACAAAATTATCCGACAATTATTTTAATACTTTTGCTTCCTTTAAACTAAAAGTATTGTACTCACTAGATATCAGTAATTTTAAATATTTTAAATGCAAATAATGATCAGCTGCTGCATTAATGTAATAGATTGCGGTATTTGACGTTTGGTACTAGATCGCAGGTTGTCCAAAAACCACTATTTCCCTACAATACAAAAATATTGGGAAAATTTAGTGACAGCTCTAGAGTTGCCATGCGCAGAAATTGATGATCTTGCTAAATTTATTTTAATTGATCTATAACTACATGAATATAGCAAATCCGACTTTGTGGGAGAATTAAAATAGTGTTAATGTATTTAAGTGAAATAAAAATAATTAATAAAGCATAAAATACAAAAATAGAAAAATTTTGAAAAGTAAATGAGAAAAAAATAGTAATAAAAATAAAATAAAAAA